TAAATATATATAATGCAAAAAAGAAGGAGACGAGATGATAAAAAAAAGAACAAAAAAAAAAAGTACTGTTTATACGATAACAAAAGCAAGAGTGTAATATTAATCGTAACCGTGATTATTCATTTATTAATATCAATGATTCATGAAAACGATGAAAAAGTTTATTTACTTGTAATGTTATCATCATTGTATTTATTCATATTTTACAATAAATAAGACAACAGATTCTTTATGGTTTACTTCGAATCACACCATATGATTTCGTTGAATTAAAATTTTTAAGAAAAGACTGAGAAATTTTTAATTTCGTTATAATACGTAAAATTTGTGTGAAAGAAAAATTTGAAATTGTTAATAACAATCGAACGTGCAATCTCATCTAATCTCGAAATCTTTTTAATTATATTTAAAATGAATAAATAAAATAATTTAATATTTCAATTAGCGATCATGTGTATACGCGAGATGTTTCAAATTCCGCGCCGCTTCGAATATCGATTATCGAGTTTTCTATTCTCGAATGAAATGCTATCAATTATTTCGAGTCGATAAGTAACATAATTACCTTTCAATTATTCCAATCAAATGAATGCTATGTATATGTAAACTAGCATTAAAAAAAGAAGTAAACGCTGAATGTTCTTGTATTTTTAATTGATTAAAAAAAATGAATCATTCTAACCTCAAATCTAGACGATTAATCAGCTAATTAGTCGTAGAAAAAAATTAACCTCAAAATGGTAGTTTGCGAATGGCTGGTGGATAATTATTACGCGTGGTAATTAAAAATATATACAAAAGAAGAAAGAAAAGAAAAAGAAGGATATGTGTAATCATGGTCGATGGTACACTAGCAAATAGTACGTCAGTGCGTTGTCATCGAGGAGAGGCCAATACACAGACATACACACAGACACATAAAACGAACCTTGGCACGCGTGTTTATAATGGTATTAGTAATGGCGACGATACACATATATACATCTCTCTCTTTCTTTCAATTTGCCCCGATTATTAATATTCTCTCTCTTTCTCTCTCTTCTTCAGACATATACACTTAGATAAATGTGTGTAAGTGTTTTGTTACGATAGTATTGTAATTGTATTAGTAATGGTGATGGTGGTTATGTCGTCGTGGAAGAGATCAGCAGGCGATTCATGTATCCGTGTGATCGTCAGTGTGTCGTCCAAAAATAGATAAATGGGCGACGAGCGTGCCGTTGTCCTCTGTGTCGGTGGTTCTACTATCTCTACGCAATGTTATCGAATATTGAAATGATTTAAGAATCAATCAAATCTTAGGAGTTCATGGGATAGCATGGAGGTGCTTAGAACTACTCAAGAAATCGTTCACGAAGGATGGCTCATCAAATCTCCACCTACTAAGTTATGGAGAGCTGTAAGTTTTATTTATTTTATATTTATTTATACATATATGCATATATATTGCATATATTATATAGTGAAAAGGTTCATTATTGGGTTATTAACTTATCATTGTTTACATTGTTCACATGTAAGAGGTTTAACAAAATTCTATACAAATCTTAACCTTTAGTTTTGTGATGATTGGACTTTTCTTTGTCAAATAATAATATTTTAAGGTTCTAAAATGATTCATTGATGTTTTATTTGGATTTAAGCGATGGAGGAAACGTTGGTTTGCTCTTCGACACAGCGGTGAATTACCTGGACAATATTTTTTAGAATATTATACTGACAGGCGATGTAGAAAGTTGAAGGGACGCATCGATTTGGATCAATGCGAACAAGTAATATTTAATCCTTAATTCTTTCTCGATATGCTAATTATTGTTATTATTATTATATGTAATATATTTTTTTAATAGGTCGACGCTGGTCTCAGGTTTGAAAATTGTAAGCAAAAGTATCAGTTTACGTTCAACGTTAAGACACCAAAGAGAACTTATTATTTGGTTGCCGAGAGTGAGGCAGATATGAATAAATGGGTTGCTGCAGTTTGTCAAGTTTGCGGCTTAAAAGCTTACACTCAAGACGAGGAACAACAATGTCAAAGTAAATGATTATCTCGTTTATTTATATTTATTTGTAATAATATTTAACAAATAATTGACAGTGGCTCTTATAAATGTTATGTTTATAGTGTTTCAGTACGAATCCCAAGAATCACCACCAATCTCTCCGACTAGTACAATCTCTGGACCTTATATTCCTATCAGCGAATGTATATCCGGTCGTCGTCTTAACGATACCAGCTCTCTTAGTTCAGGAATGGGACAAGGGCCAGAACATTACGATGCTCCAAGAAGATTAGCTCCTTCGCCACCAAGATCACCTACTACTACTGACGCAGAAAGTGTATTTACAGATGACGAGTGGACTGCTCCTGTACCTAGTGTCAATTGGGATACTTTTCCACGCACAGGTAAAAATTTAACGAAGAATAAATAACTGACTATATAAATAAAATGTCTTACTTTATAAAATTAACTTGACACAGCTGAATCCAGAGCTCACAATTCTGGTGATGCAGAAATAGGTTCATGGAGTGTAAGAAAGAGGTTTGGAAAGTTAAGAATCGTAGATTCGACTGTCCCACCAGATGTAGAAAAATTACCGGTTCCTCCAAGACCGCCTAAACCAGCTCACATGTTACCTGAAAATCCAGGTCACAATTATTTAAATTTAGACGGTGCAACGGAAAGTTCGAAGCCTACGACTCCTGCAACACCAGTTGCAAACACAGCACCAGTTGGATCGATAACGGATGAATCTTATGATTTCCCGAGATCCCATCAACCTGGACAAGCATCGGAAAAACATGTTTATTCAAATGCTGCACCTACTACAATAGAAGATACACGTGTTTTTCGTTATGATTTTCACGAGGATGAACCACCAAGTCCACGATCGGAAAGTTCGGTAACAGCTACTTATTCCAATTTACCAAGTCCTTTGATACGGGATTGCGGCTCTGCTCCAACACCATCATCAACCGTAGCTCCACCTCCACCTGTGGTGTACAGAGAATTAAAACCTGGTAGAAAAACCAGTGACTCAATATCAATAATTAGCAATGAAGCATCACCTGGTACAACATTGCCAACGTTAGAAATGAGTTCGTCAGAAAATTCTCCAGCTGAACCGCCTAGTATTAATAGGAAACTTAAACCACCATTAAACAAGTCACCCATTGAAGGTAAGCTTTAGAAATTTCATTTTTACCTTAATTCATATTATGAAATTATACAATAAGATTTGATTCTTAAGGACCTTTGCAACTTGCTTCCCCCCCTGGAAGAGGTAGAATGCGAGCAGCACCTAGTCCAACTCCTCCAGTACATACACATAGTATTCGACATCAGTCAACGTCAGATGAAGATAATAATGCTTTTGACGATAAAGAAGAGGTAATTGTATACGAAAATATATATATACATAGATCATAATATTGTGTGTCTTAGAAAGTGTTTCTAAAAAATGTATTATTCTTTTAGATATATTATTATCAAGATCAAAATAATACATTCATTCCTGCATCAAGTCGACGGTTAGTTGTGTTACAATATCTTGATCTTGATTTAGAAGCAAGTGAAAGTTTTGCTTCGTCGACGTTACCACCTGCTCAATCACCACCAAATAATACGGTATACAAAACTGTTGATTTCTTAAAAACTGAGGCTTTCAATCGTACACGACAACGTGTAGAAGAAGAAAGGAAGCAATGTACTGATGAGTTAACATAGCCTAAACTTTTGATATCATCGGAATCAAATCCAAATTTTAGTTTGTTAAGAATGATAACTTTTTTCTAAGAGAAAAGAATTATTTACTTTCTATTCGGTTTAAAATTAATTAATTTTGGAGCGAATTGAAAGTAAAGAAAGTAAAGGACTCGTATAAGAGAAAAGCTGCCTAATGAAAGAAGTATAGCAATATTCAATGGACCAAAAATATATAATATTAAACGAAAGAAAAGAAAAAAAGAACTAAAGAGACACAAAAAACATTGGTACCATTAACCTGACTGTACCACACAACCGTTAGAATTTGTAAAGGAAAAAAAGAGTTTTCATATTTTTTCAATAGTATTATTAAGTATAAAATATGTGGATTTATATAGATAAGATTTTATATAAATTATATATCAAAGGAAAAAGAAGAGGAAACCATTTTTATTAATGAATCGCACAACGATTTATAATGTTTTATTAAGTTTTAATTAAAAATTAAGATTTTTCAAACATTCTCCAACAAATATTTTGAATATATATATATGTGTGTGTGATGATAATTATGGCAGTGGACTAAGTCAAAAAATTGAAAATGTAAATCAGAAAATAGATTGTTTCAATTTGTTTATTTAGTCCATTTATTATATATATAATATATCGTGTACTTTTCCAAATTTTATTTATTTTTATCTTTTGCTTAGTTCTAACGTTTTTATGATATCACACTAAAAAGAAATGGTTATTTAGATACTATAAAGATAAATAATATGGTTTTCTTATTATTGTAAATATCGTTTTAAGTATATTTACTTTTTAGATAATCTGTAATAATGATTTATTTTTGATTACAATTTATTTGCTATTGCATATTATTAAAGATGCTATTTTTATCTATTTTTTACATAGCATGCCATGAATTTAACATGTACATACGTATATGAATGTGTGTACAATACGAGAGCACATGTTTTTTATTAGATTTTATGTATTGTTTAATAACGTTTTCTTAGGTACATAATAACGAAAATTTTAAAAAGTGTTTGTAGAAAAAGAAAAAACTTGTGCTCGCGATAAAAACCATGGGTGACTTATTTTCCAAATGAAAGTAGTAAAAAATTAGATATTAAATTAGTACATATGAATTATGCATTAGATTTATTATTAATAATTATGATGCTTTGCACGAGTGTATGTGTGAAGTCTTGCATATCACCAAAAAAAAAGAAACGTAAGGAAAGAAAATATATTTTGTGCAAACCAAAGCATGCACACATATCTATATCGCAGAATGAAAATTAATTTACGAAAAGATAAAATAATATGTTGCCTTATATGTTACCAATAATTTTGCAATGATCATTCGCACAACATGAGTAACACTTAGAAGAATCGATTGTGGTATTGCAGTCCTATGCTATTATGTATAGAATTCAATATACACATAGAAAATAAATAAATCATATTTATATAGTTAAATAATTTATATACTATTTTATTATATTCCTTAAATATTTATATATTAATTTATATATATATTTTACAAAATTTTTGATATATATTAAAGAATAAAAGGAAAAATTAAATGGGTTCGGATATAAAAATTAATTTTATTACCGCAGAAAAGTTGGCATAAAACCTCAACAGCAGAAAAAAATGAAAAAATGAAAATATTTACCTATTGTTTATACATTATGAATGATTAACCTATTTCTTTTCACTACCCTATAGGTTGTTACTTTGGAAATCAACTTTAAATATATTCCCTGCAGGTATATATATCAACTTTGTTTTCATTTTTTTCAAAGTGTGCTTGCACCTTTAATTTGTGGTTGCACATGCGTATAACATATCTCCCACTCATGACGTCGCCATTTCATAATTATTCAAAGTGTAATAATTATTTTCAACAAATTAACGATAAATAAAAAATATTAGATAATATAAAGTTGAGGAGCCGGACAAACAGAAAGTGAGCAATTGATAGAAAACAAAAAACAATATAAAACTTCATTGCTTTGCTTAGAAATGAGAAAAAACGTTTTTGTATTTTCAATTATTAATAACTAATTAAATAATTAATTAATAAAGTATGCAATTAAGAGTACTTATTAATTTTTTCTGCTGTTGAGGTTCTATGCCAACTTTTCTGCGGTGTTAATTTTAGTAAAAAAATATTAATTTATTTACAATGTATATTTATAAAAAACTGTCTTACCATCATCGATAAATAGAATACACGCATTACCGGCAGAGTAAGGAGACTGTAGTAGTAGTTCTGCGAAAGAGTGCTAGGGTGCGTGGTAGTGAGGAGCGAACGACTATCCTGTCTCATTCACTCGCCAACCATCGGGCGAGGTATTACGCTTTCTTGCATTCGAATTTGTCGTGTCGTGTTCTTTAGTTTTTCGATTGAGTTTTTTTTTTGTTTCGTGTCATCTTATACGTGTATTAAAACATCATTATTATTGTGATTTATATAATGTGATCATTGTGACTTTGTGCATGTATATCGATGTAAACAAAAATAATCTAAAGTTAAAAAGTGTGCAAATTTCATTTGTGCAGTCTTCCAAAGATTTTTGTTTACGGACAACAACGGATTGGAGCAACATATTCTTCGATAAACAGCAGGCAGATGTGAGATTTTAATTTATAAATGTTATTTTTATTTCTTTCTTTACTTTTCTTTTTCATTTTTATTTTTCCTTATTTCAACATCAATCGATTCGGAGCCACCTGTTGGCTCAGAAAAAAACATGGCATCGACTTCGTAACGACCGAACGATCCAAGATAAATATCTTTTATTATTATTCTTATTCTTATTCTTATGATGATGATGATGATGATGATTATTATTATTATTATTATTATTATTATTATTATTATTATTATTATCATCATCATCTCGTATATTTTTCTTTTAATTCTTTTACGTCATTTCCAATGTGAATTTAAAACAAAGTTATTTTGGATCATATTATGCTATTGCAGTGATCGATGTGCATGAAACGAGCCTGTTTATTTATCGGTAAAAAAGGGAGAGCAACAGAAATTATAGGAAATACATCCTTAGGTATTTATTTATCCTTCGGTGATGGCTATTTTAAAATACAAATGGCCCCACCTATTTCTTTGGAATTTAAATTTACATATATACATATATATATAATTTAAATGCTTTCCACAAAAAAAAATGTCGATATATTAGATGGATTATATTTGTGTCCCTTTTCAACGTTCTCGCCCACTTGTGGAGTTCTCGACCACCCAGCTGTGTCTTCTATCTGTCTCTCTCTTTCTTTATGTGGTCGACATTCCTCACCCTTCTCACCAAATTCTTCAAGGAACCCAAACGAGTATGCACGATTAGATTCTACTTTCCAAAATGGAAATACTTAATGCAGGAACAGAAAGAGAGAAAGATTTATTCGACTTCTTTTTTTTTTTTTTTTATTTAAAAACTATTAGAATTTTACTTAAAAAAGTTGATCAACATTTAAGATCATTTAAAAGAAAAAGGAAAAAGAAGAAGTCAACAGATTCGAGTTATGTTATTATTTGGAGTATAGAGTAGAATAATCTTTTTATTATTTTTTGTTAACATCGGTAAGGTATAAAAAAGTTTCAGGTATGTTGACTCGTGTCACCTTTAGACACCCACGTTTCATCGAGATCTATGCATTCTCTTTTTATCTTCCTTTAGGGGAACGAGAACAGTATAAATTACAGTAATAATAATGATAATAAATGGCATAAAAATATTGAATTTGATCACTCGATTGCGAATAATGTAGCTTGATTGTTTGTCACCGAACTATGAAAAGGGAATTTATTGCGTTACTCTTGAAAGATAGATAACATCTGTTTGTCGTAGTTTTTTAATGAAAGATTCCAAACACCTGCTAAGTTTTGTGATAACGTTAGGTTTTTATTGACAATGATTTTTTACAAATTCGATTGAATTTGCGAAAAATTTCAATTCCATATATAGATTTTCTTTATAAATATTATTATGATATTTTCTTCTCTTAGCCTTGAGAGATAGCTCCTTGTACTCGTAAAAAGCCAGAGCCATAATCAATCCATACATGAAAGGAAAAGTGTGTTGCTTCTAAGAAGGACGAGGATGATCACGAGGCATCCGTAGATTTAAAGACAGGCTTTGGGCTTTTACGAGTTAGGAGAGCGCGGTCAATAATCGTCGTAAACGTAATTATGTATCGTTATTTTCTTCGAATACATTCCGTTTTGATTACGCAAGTCAGACGATCTACGAACACCAGCAAGCAAGCAAGAGGAACAACCATACTAACATAACCAGTAAGGTAGTAGTCACCACCAGGAGCAACACCAGCAATATTACCGAAGCTTCGTAAAATAAGCGTTATTAAATCGAGCTACGAGTTCAATTAGCTTCATTCAATTTTATTTTCTTCATTTATTTACAACTAATCGTATGCCCATTCATTCTCATTTAGAATTCTATACGTTATTGTAAAATTTTAGGAATAAGTTAAAGAAAATTTGACGATAATCGAACAGTTATTTAATGTTTCAATACAATAAGAAATTATTCGAAAAAATTCGGCTGTCTTTTTAAGTAAATAACTAAACGAATTGAACGGAAGCGTCGAAGGCTCACTTTCGTTACCCGAGAACAACGAATTACGTAATTAACTTCGAATTTGTCGAAATTCATTTTTCTCTATCTCTATATAATATCTCGTGTCATGTTGGTTTACAATAATATATTATATTCTCTTTCGCATTTGTTCATGTTCATTTTCAATTCTCTTGCATTTTCATGGGTGAGATCTTGTATATACATACGTATATGTATGTACATGTGCATGTATTTCTATAGATAGATATATTTAACGTTTATAGTAAGCAGCGTCGGTTGCATTAGAGAGACAGGAAACGAAGAGAAGAGTTATAATCGGGCGACCCGGTTTAGGCGCGGCCCACAGGCGCCACACCAAAGAGAAACAGAGAGAGAAAATTCCTTGGAAATGTCAGGGACTGATCTATAGATCAGTTTTTTTTTTGCACAATCGATCTATTCTCATCTATCTTCCTAACTTAAATTGATTCCATTCATTTTTGTAGATCTCTTTTCAATATATTTCCCGATTCGATATTTTTCATTAGAATTTTTCCATATTTTTCTAATCGATACAATACTGTCGATTATTTTTTACAAGTAATTTGCTAGATCAGCTGTTTAAACAGAAGAAGGAATTGCTTGGAAATGTCAGGCATTGATCTATGGATCTCTTTATAGATTATACAATCGATCTCTCTTTTTATTTCATTCGTAAAATTCGTTTCTATCATTTGTAAGTAATAATTTTAGTTGTTGGTTTAAATTGATACAACATTTAGCCTATTGTTAGGTTCGATATTTGTTAGATCAGCTGATTAAATAGAAATAATATGAGAGGTAAATTGAATCGAGAAACGGAAAGGTCTTTGGATTATGGTTGTCGGGTTTTGTTAGCGTTCAGAGAAGACTGTTCGATGTGCAAAAGTCGGTCAATTTCTTTATCGTTTATCTACGAACACAATATCGAGATATTATTGTATCTTATTGAATTAGGCTCGTTAATATTGTATATATTTATTTGTAAAAGAAATTTCATTACGTTTATATCTTTTTTATTTCGTATCAAGAGACTCATACGATTTAGGTTTATCGATTATGCTTGCTTTGCTTGAATTACTTTTAGATTTATGGCAGTTTACTTTCATCGGCTAGAAGATTATGGTAATAAAAGGGAGATCTCATTTCGCGTACTTTATAGTTTGACTATTTTATATTATATATGATATAAAAAAAGAAAGGGAATTAATTTCTGCGTGCGAAGATCGATAATAATTTATATAACGATCCATATAATGATCCACCAGGCGTTTGCTGAGAATTTTTTTTCTCGTCGTTATTCTTCTCGTAAAAGGAACATGTAAACTCGACATTATATGCACACGTGATTCTAGTATTAAAATAAAATTGATTCAATAACAAGAAGAAGACGAAGAATAAGTGAAAGTTACACTGACGAATTAGTAATTATTTCATACGCTTTTAATTGTTATAACACTTCGTTAGCGTATTCGCTTTGTTTTGTAATCCATTACGATGTTTGAGAACCAGGAAGAAGATGCATTTGAATTTACCGTCTTTAAAGTAACTGCAAGCATAAATTCGAACATATAGAATAATAGTAAGAAATATAAAAATTCATCTTATTTATAAATTAATTATTATCTATTAATAGAGAGCCATTTTTTTGCTGAAAGGTGTTTAAGAATAAATAGTAAGGATAACGCGTATAATAGAGCTACATGATTACGTATATATCTTCTAATATAAATAGAATAAAACTTTGTGCAAAATGTATCTCGTTCATAATGAACAATTCAAAAGGAAACTTTAGTTAGAATGGAAAGTAAATATGAACGCGAAACGAGGACATAGCTGTCGATACATAATCCTATTTCTCTATACACGTATACGTATATGCATGCATGCATGCATGCATTCTCGAGAATAAGCTCGACATCATCATATTCTCGACATTCATTGGATTCATCGGAAGCTGCGTGAACCGAACCCCAGGAGAAGACCAAAATCGATCTTCTACTTTCCATTCTCTTTTCCATTTCTCTTTTTCTCTTTACCACCTCTCTTTATTTCGGTTCGACGATTTGTTTATCTCTGTCCAACTTTAAGAATGACGATCGTAGAACGACTTTAGAGATGCATGCAAGGAGAACATGTGACGTAAGATGAGATTTCACCGTCTACAAGTTTCTCAGAAGAGAACCACCATAACCGAGTTGATTTATCTTCCGTCAGTGAAAACGGAGAACGATTAGATTCAATGTGATTTCAATTTTGCTGCTTTTTTTTTTCTTTTATTTTTTTTTTTTTCATTTTGTATTAATCGTAAATTTTTCAGTCAGGACTTTTCTTCTTGAATTTTTCTACGATTTAATCACGCAAAACAATTTCAAGATATATTGATCGTGTACAATTATAGTTTTGTCGTATGATATTTCATTTTTGTATTATTCTATTCTGCATCTTTTTACACGGGGAAAAAACGCGTATATATATATATTTATTTAGTTTTTTTTTTGAATTATTTATTAAAGAGGTGTCCAAGAGAGTAGGCTAACCCAAATTCTCGTGTAGCAATTACTGTGATTTTCACCGTGACTTGTGATTTCCCTCTCGAAGGAGAGCAAATAGGTCGGAAAGATAAGAGAAGAGAGATAAATATATGTTTAAGTATACGTATTTTCTTAATTGAGAAGAGAGAAAGACAGACAGACAGACGAGCAGCCAGGCGGACAGAGAAAGAAAGAAAGAAAGAGACTCATCGTGTTATCGTCGTCAGTTAACGAGCTAATTAACGTCGCCATTGACTTTTTATTTATACGAATGTATTTTTTGTTGTTGTTGCTCCTTCTCGAATTATTATTTTTTTTTTTTTTCTTTTTTTTTTTACTTTAGAAAGTACACACACTTTTTATATTTTTCTTTCGAGTTACAATCGCCTAATTTAATTTTCGTTATTTCGTTAAAAACGAACGGGAAAATCTTTAGCAAGAGTTAGAAGCAAGAGAGTAG